GTCCATATTCTGTCTTTCCACTTCTTTGACAATGCATTTCAAGCACTGCTGTCCCTATACTCCATTAAAATTATTGTTACCAAAGTCTCCAAAGATCTCAATTTTGGCAAATCAATTATCAATCTTTGGTCCAAAATTTCCCAACCTTACCATGCATGTGACATAGTTTTTACTCCCTCCTTGAAGCACTTCTCCTGACTTCCACGTACTACATTCTCAATTTTCCTCCTTTGCATGAAAAGTTGTATTTGCTATCTCCTCTTCCCCTTCCCAAACTTGATGTATTGGAGCGCTCCAGGTTTCAGTATTCCTTATGTAAATGCACTCCCTAGGTGTATTAGTTATCTATTTCTGTCTTAACAAATTGTCCTAATACTTAACAGCTTAAAACAACACACGTTTATTATCTTACACAGTGTCTGAGAGTCAGGAATCTAGGAGTGGCTTAACTGGGTGATTCTGGCACAGAATCTCTTATGAGGTTGCAGCCAAGTTGTAGGCTGTGGTTGCAGTCTCTAAAGGGGCTTGAACATCTCCTTCCAAGCTTACCCATTTGGCTGTTGACAGGAAGCCTCAAATTTAGTTCCTTCCTCATCACAAAACTCTCCATAAAGTTGATCATGACATGGCTTCCCTCTCAGTAAGTGGTCCAAGAGAGTCTAAGACAGAAGCTACAGTCTCTTTTATAACTTAATCTAGGAAGTGATATACCATCATTTCTGCATAGTTTACTGGTCACAAAGAACAATTCCAGTACAATGTGAAAGAGGATTGTACAAGTATAAATATCAAGAGGCAGAACTCTTTAGGAGCCACCTTGGAGGTCAGCTATCACACTAGGTGATCATGTCCAGTCCCATGTTTTCAAATATCATCTCTAGGCTGACAGATTTTATACCTCCAGCCTGGACCTATCTTCTTGAGTTTCACAATTGTATAACCAACTGCCTTAACTGCCATTTGGATATCTAATAAGCCCTTCCAAGTTAACATGGTGAAACCTGAACTCTTATTTCCCACCCCACTAAAACCTGCTCCTTCATGGGTATGGTTCATCTCATTAAATAACACCACTATTCTTTCAGTTGCTCAGGACAAAAACCTGTTATTGAATTATATCTTTGAATCCCCTATTATCTTCACATCTCACATCAAATCTATTAACAAGTCTACTTCTACAAATGTAACTAGAATCTAATCACTTTCCATCATCATCTTTATTACCACCCTAGTTTCAAGCCTCCATCATCCTGTTCAGACTATTGCATAGGCATCCTAATCATTTTCCCTGCTGCACCTCTTCCCCTAGAGTCAATTTCTCTCAAAGTGTCCACAGCAATACTTATTACATGTAAAATAAATATGATCACTTTTCTCCTGGTTTAAAAGTCTCCAGTGTCTTCACATCACAGTAAAAATAAAATCCACTTGCTACTGTGGGACACTGGAGTTGGTAAAGGATCTCAGGACGGCTGGGTGAAAACTTGATCTAAGAAACACTGACTAGGCAGCTTTTGGGGAGATCATACCCTGAGACCACTGCTAACTCCCTGAAATCCTGGAATGAAACCCTCACCTCTAAGTTGGATAATCTACCTGAAAATCCACCTACTATCAAATGGGCTTACTACAAGGCCAGCATGGTAAATGCCAACTTGGCAGATGAATTTGGGAAGAAGTTTAATACTCTGAAGGTTCCTGTTCCAAAGGATAAATAAATTGTCCAAATGGATGCTGTAGAAAAAGATGTGAAAAGCTGTGCTGAGTTTTGTCTCTTTCAAAGGCTAGGACTGAGGAATACGAGAAAGAGCTGGAGAAGATGAAGAATATAATTCCATTTGATCAAATGACCATTGAATACTTGAATGAAGTGTTCTCAGAAACCAAATTAGACAACAAGTATCCCAACTGGCCTCACCAGCCAAATGAGAATTTATGAAATTGGGTCTGGCAGGAAGGCCCTCATATTACAAACTCTGGACATTAAAAATAAAAATGGACACTAAAAATGGATAGATAGAAAATCCAGACTCCTAACCATGTCTACAAAAAGCCCTATATATAATCTGGCCCTTAACTTCTCACAGCTTGTCTCTATTATTCTTTGCTCATTCTGCCCTAGCAACACTGGCCATCTTTCTGCAACTCACAAAGGCTGAGCTCATTCCCAAATCCGGGCCATCATATGGCTTGCTTTCTTCACTTAGATCTCTTCTTCAAATTCCACTTCCTCAGAGTGCCTTCCCTGAACACACTATCTAAAATGGTGAAATACATATGCCCTTCACTCTTTATCCTTTTACCCTGCACTGTTTTACTACATGCACTTACCACTTCACTTAGACTGAAATCTAATTTTTTTAACTTTATCCTTATAGAGGTATAGCTGGTATAAAATAAACTGCACATATTTAAATTTGGTAAGTTTTGACCTAAGTGTACACCTATGAAACCATCATCACAATCAAGATGGTGAACATATCTACCATTCTCAAATGTTAATCAGTTTTACTGTTAATCCCAAAGACCCAACTTTGTTTCAGTGATTTTCACTGTTATTGTTCTTTTCATTTGTTTCCACAGATGTTTATTCTTTCTTTTATTCTGCTTACCTTGAGTTTAATGCATTTTCTATTTCTCGTTTCTTAAGGTAGAAACTGAGGTCATCAATGTGAGACTTTTCTTCTTTTCTAATACAGGATGAGCTCACAATAAATTAAGCACTATAAATTTCCCTTATGCACTGCTTTAGTGATATCCCACATATTTTTATAGGTTGCATTTTCATTTTCATTCATTTCAAAAGACTTTCTAATTCCCCTTCTAATATCTATGGGTTATTAAGAAATATGTTACTTAGCTTCCAAGTACTTGGAAATTTTTCAGATATCCTTCTGGCATTAATTTTTTATTTAATTCCACTGTGGTCAGACAATATACTTTGTATAACTTCAATCCTTTTAAATTTATTAAGCCTTGTTTTAGGGCCCAGAATATGGTCTATCTTGCAAATGTTCCAAGCACACTTGAAAAGATTATGTGTTTTGCTGTTGTTGGACAGAATGTTCTATAAATGTTAATGAGGCCAAGTTGGTTAATGTGTTGTTCAAGTCTTCTTTATACTTGTTGATTTTCTGTCTGCTTGCTCTATCAATCATTGAGAGAGGGATATAGAAATCTCCCACTATAATTATAGATTTGTCTTTTTCTCCTTGCAGTTCTATCAGTCTTCACATATTCTGAAACTGTTATTAAGTGCATAAACATTAGAGTTGTTATATCCTCTTGATGGATCGACCCCTTTATCATTTATGAAATGAACTTTTTTATCCCTGGTGATATTCTTTGCTCTGAAATCTGTTTATTTTTTACTAATTTATTGTCTATTTCTCTCAGAAATGTAAGTATCATGAGGCCAAGGACTGTGTCTTATTTTGTATCCTAGCACTTATTAGGGTAGCTGGCATTTGGTGCATATACTTAAAAAATTCTTATTAATCTTCATTAAATCTTTATTAAAGTAAAGAGAGAAGGAAAGGAGAGATTGAAATACATATGCAGATATAGAGCTAGGCAGTAGGGCCAAGAGATGAAAAGTTCCAGTACTTGTTCTGAGGAGCATACATCATAGTAAAACAAGTATAAAGGCAATTTCAAGAGTATGATATGAATCAGGAAATGGACAAGCACAAGATGGTAGACACATCAGAAACATCTAACCTAGTCTAAGGTGATGAGGAATGGATTCCTGGAGAAGGTAAACCTAAGCTAACATTTGAATAGTAGAGCCAACTACAAAGAGAGGGGGAAATGGCCCTCCACAAAGAGACAACAGCATGAACAAAGACACATTGGTAAGAGAGAACATGGTGTTAAAGCAAAATGAAAGTATGTCAGAACTCTCTCAGAGGGCTCCTATTCTGTCTAGAAAATGTATTGCCCAACACCCCCAGCACACTGAGCCCTCATGGTTAGTGAATTACTTTGAGTATGCCCACACAATCTGCTCCCAATAACTGAATTGTGTGCTTATTAAGAGTCTTTTAAATTGTTCCTAACCTGTTTCTATCAGTTCTTGTTATTATGGTTCAATTAGATAGTAATACAAAGATAATGACATACGAATGTAAGAAGACAGTTATCTACATGAGAACCAAGTTGAATGCTTTCATACACTAGACAGAACAAAAAAATTTTTTTTTCAAAGTAGACATGAGAGAACTATACAATTTAGGGGTTAAACTGTCAAATTAAAAGACTTGTACTTGAAAATGATATGGCCAAAAAGAATGGGAAGAGGAGAGTGGAAAGAAACATGTTTGCTATGAATAGGGCTCACAGGGCTTTGTGTGTCCCCTAAAGTGTTTGTATTCCTGAGGTCAGTGGTGAACATTCAAAGGTACTGAACAAGATAGTGACAAAATCAGGTTTGGATTTCAGAACGATGGCTCTGACTGCAGAATAAAGAATAAGGGTGCAAGACTGAATGCAGAAAGACTTGTCAGGAAACTACTGTAATAACCCAAGCAGAGCTGATGGTGACCCAAGGGTTATTTTACTATTCTTAGGAACTAATTTTATGGGTTAAATAGGCTTTTGTACGCTTTCTAAGAAACCAACATTGCTGTCTTGAGAAAGCATTTCCAAAGAACCAATTACAGGCCAATTAGAATACAACTTATTCATGGACTGGGAACTGTTTATAATTTATTTGCCAATAAAATGGTAACTTCTGCAGAAGTCTTATCTGCTTCCTCAAATTAACAATCGTAATCTGGATCATTTCCACTGCAATTGCAAAACCTCCTTCTTATGCAGACAACATCTAAAAAAGGGCTGTTTCCAAAATAAAAATAAAAATTTGAAAACATCAAAAAGGACTATTTCTAAATATGATTTTCCAAAATAGCTCTTTTTAAATGTTTGCACAAAACAGGGGGTTAGGCTCTGGTATCTGTGACTATAAACTACTCTTATTACCCAGAAAAGAAAACACTTACTTCATGAAATACTGCTCCAGAATATGGAGATACTCCCAAGTCCAACAGTGAGAGGCCTTCAACCACTGAAAAGTAAGATAGCCAAGTTCACTCTTATTTAAAAGACACATGCAGATGGACATAAACCAAAGTGTTAGATATTCCCAGGAACACAAAGGGCCTCACACTTCCTCTAACCCCTTTACCTCATTCCCAGCAAGTGGCTTTGAGTCTTGATTTGAACATTTCAGATGAGGGGGGCTTTCTTCCATATAGGGAAACCCTTCCCATTGTGGAGCAGCATTATTATAAGGAAGTTTCATGTTAAAACACTCCAAGTTTCCTTTGATCTCCTTGTAACATTCACCCACTCTTAAGTGTTTCAGTAAGTATATTCTGCCCCATTCCAAAAAACAGTAAGATAACAAACTAGAAACTGGTGAGAAGTGTCCACAGTGTAGGGAAATGGACAGTCATGCTCAAATGCTGCTTGTTTGATTGACATTTATATTAACTTTCCTACAGGGAAACATGCATTTTTAAGGGTGTGCCTTTTGACCTTTAGGGCAATGTAACCTGGGGAAATAATTGGACAAGTGTCCAAAGAAGTATGTTGTTCACTACTATGCTCATAGTACTAAAAATTTTAAATAATCCTAATTTCCATTAATGGAGATTTTTTAATGAATTATGATATGTACATATGTATGTGTGGAGAGAAACACAGATATATTGAAACTCTTTATAGTTAAAAATTATAATATAAACAAGTGATAATAAATGGAAGAGAAAAGGAAGCTCTTCCTTACAGAAAACTGTTAAGTATCAAATATAGAAGGAAAGTTGGAAATAGAAAAATCACCATTTGGCAGACCCCACAGTAATAACTGTGAAATGCAAGCATTATCAATGGATACTAAAATCAATGGGTAAAAACATGATATGAAACAATATTTGCAAGGGGGAAAATATTAATTTTATGTGGATAAACCTGGCATTCACTACCTTAACCAGGTGACTGAAGTTAATAACACCAGTAATGTGTTGAGCAGTTATCATCAACATCAAGTACCTCTTGATATGATTCACGTTGAGGTGGGGATGAAAACACCACTGTGGTCCTTATACCAAAAATGTGGTATCCTTGCCAAAAAGCATAACTTCAATCTAATCATGAGAAAACGTCAGGCAAACCCAAATGGTGAGATAAAATAACTGGCTAGTACTCTTTAAAAATATTAAGTCTGAGGAAGTGTCCCAGACTGGAAGAGACTAAAGCTGCCTAACAACTAAATGCAACATAGGATCATGGACTGGATCTTAGACCAGAAAAAGGACATTAGTGGAACAAGTGGTAAAATTCTGATAAGGTCTGTAATTAGTTAATAATATTCTATCAATGGTTTAAGTCACTGTACTATGGTTATGTAGGATGTATTATTCGAAAAAGCTGGGTGGAGGGTAAGCAGAAACTCAATACTACTTTTGCAAGATTTTGAAAATCTGAAGTTATTTCAAAATTAAAAGTCAAAATAAAAAAATTATATTACAGATACATATTTACTGAAGAGAAGATGCCCATGAAATACTCTTAAATGAAAAGCAAGTCATAACACAGCATGTAAAATATGACCAAATCTACAGTGACTGTGAAGAGGTATGTGGGGAAGACTTGGTGAAGGGGGGAGCCTAGTAAACATAATGTTCTTCATGTAATTGTAGATTAATGATACCAAAAATAAAAAATAAAAAATAAAAATGAAATAAAATAAAAATATGACCAAATCTTATTTTACATATTTTAAGCATTCATTTAATTACTTGAGGGAATGAATATGTATGCAATGAGAATTGCCTCAAAATAAACATAAACATTAAATAAAATAAATAAAAATAAGCAAAAAAATGATAACAGTCATAAATCTCACCTGGCTGATTAGATTACAGAAGAGTTTAGTTTCTTTTATCTTTTCTTCATTTTCTGAATCTTTAGCAATGAGCATGTATTAGTTTATAATTATTAAAAAGAAACAGGAAAATTAATTTTAAAAGAAAGTGAATGATGAAGGATAAAACAAAATGTAGCCACGAAAACATATAAAATGTATAAACTTACAAATGCACAAAATTATCTCAGAAGTATACATAAGAAACTAATTATAAACTAAACAGTAAGAAGTGTTCCCTGTTCCCTCCAGAAACAGAAATGGGTGGTTATTGAAAAGTGGTGGAAAAAGATGCCTTTTAATCATATAGCCTTTTGCACCTTTGATTTTTGAATCATGTGATTGAATTACCTACTCAAAACAAGTGAATAAGACAAAATCAAAGTGACAAAGCCCATTTTAAAAAAAACCACATATTTATTTACAATGAGTGGGCCATAAAGATGACTTTAAACTTTATAGAGCCACTCTAGAAGAAAACCCAATCAGTTAAAACAAAGCCCTCTGCTCAAGACAACTGTTAACTAGTTCTTACACTAGAATCAGAAAAAAATTTATTTCTAGGAGTTACATAAAGAGCCTGCTGTGTAACAGCTATTAAACCCTTTCCAAACAGCTTTACTGGACACCCAAGGAGATGATTCATCAGGCCACTTCACAAGGCAACTCTCAATCTAAGACAATGGCACCCTACCACAGAGCAGTAGAAGCAACTGTACAGGGACAAAATATGTCGAGGAGCATTACTCTCCACTGGTTTAATCCAGAGGGAGATTCTTGATTGTGTAGCTAGAGGAAAAGACTGCACACCTTTCAGGCAATTGTCTAAAATGTGGTTTCCCTCAGATATGCTTTTGCTAGATATTGTCACCAGTGAATTTATTAATGTGTTCTCTGGTAAGGGACTGGAATGTGGTTCTGCTATCTTGATTAAATATGACCTCATCCTACTAAATAGATAACTGATCTGAGGGAAGAGTAAACCGCTTGTAAAAACATTAAAAAAAAAATACTATTTACTACCACCATCTATAACAGTAAAAAGTATAGGAAGACATCAACCCTCAATACTTTTACTTGAATACACTGGCTTTAAGACAAACTTCTTACAATGTCCTTATTTTTCTTAGTTTGGTGCACATGACTGAAAACCCTGCCATGGTCTACAATACAATCAGGAACATCTGAGCTGTAGAATGCCAAATCCTCTAGAGTATAATAGGGAAACTACTCCATGTACAAAAGAATAATCAGGATCCCCAGATTCTAACAGATATAGAACAATGTTCCAATAACATTGTGCTAGGAACATTTTAAAGTAGGTTTCACAAAATGCCTCTTTGGGGAAAATTTTTTTACTCAATTAAAAGAAAAAAAGAACCCATAGTTTTAAGTCATTTCTTTTTGTAGAATACCCACCAAAGTAAAACCTGAGAAAAATACACCAGAGCAACTGAATAGCATTTCTGTTTCATGGGATCATTATCCAACAATTATTGTTTTAGAATAATTGGCCATGAAAGCTAATTAACTGTGGCCAACTATTCTAAAAACATAAGTTTTTAAAAAAAAATAATCTCTCAACTCTTTAACTGATAAATCCCATGAGGCAAGATTCTTATTTAGCTATCTTGATGTGCTTTTCCTATGGGTGTCAAATAGACAAACATTGTCTTTGAGCTTCCCATATGAAGGGCATGCACTCAGCTTGTTCAAAAGAAGTGGTATCCTTATATTTCTAGCCCTGAAGACCCCAGAAACAGTGTCATCCCACTAACAAAAAACACACCTAGCACCCAGATCTTGGTTTCTAAATAGCATTCTGCAATAGAAGGAACCAGGGCTCCTTGGAGAAGTGATTAATTCCAATGCTAGAACAAGAGAAATACAAGATGAGCCTGGAGCAATACAGTTTACTAATTACGTATTTAACAATAAAAGTTTTGTTTTGTTTTGTTTTTTAAGGAGTGCTATCAGAAGTGTTCCTCCTGACCCTGAGTCATAGCTGCATTAGAAGTGGGTTTCTAAATCATCACTAATAGCCTGGGTTCTCCATCAAACTCAAGAAGCTAGGCCCATACTAATTGCTAATCTTTAGGTCAAGGCTGAGGAAATACCAAAATATGACAGAAAAGTTCCAAAATTATCTGTGACAGATTTCTACACAAGATTGTATGGAGTGAGTGGTTACCAAAGGGGAGGAGTGTAGGAGCAAAGGTGGGGAGGGAGGGAGAAGGGGATTGACGGGTATTATGTTTAGTACATATGGTGGGGGATCATGGGGAGAATAGTGTGGCACAGAGAAGGCACATAGTGGATCTGTGGCATCTTGCTGCACTGATGGACAGTGACTGCATTGGGGTATGGGTGGGGACTTGATAACATGGGTAAATGTAGTAACCACATTGTTTTTTCATGTGAAACCTTCTTAAGAGTGAGCGTATATCAATAATACCTTAATAAAAAATTTTTAAAAAAAGACTCTATGGAGTGAACTCTGATAGAACAGCAATGCCTAAAGATCGCTAGCTATTCACATAAAACCTCATCTGTGTGACTTTGGTCAAGTGACTTAGTCTCTCTGTGCTTCAATTTTCTTATCTATAAAATGGAGCTAACAGTAGTAGTTACAACATAAGGCCATTGTAGAGATTACATTAGTTTTTTAAATATACCTAAAGTGCTTAGAATAGTGCCTGACATGTTGAAAGTATTACATCAGTCAGTTGTGTTTTGTCTTTACTTTTAATGTAAAAGAAGCACATGCTTGCATTATGTCAAGCACGAAACTTGTGTAAATATTAGTTGGACTATATCAGTAAATAAATGGATAAAGAAGATATGGTACATATACACAATGGAATGTTATTTAGCCATAAGAAGAAAACAAATCCTACCATTTGCAACAACATGGATGGAGCTAGAGGGTATTATGCTTAGTGAAATAAGCCAGGCAGAGAAAGACAAGTACCAAATTATTTCCCTCATTTGTGGAGTGTAACAATGAAGCAAAACTGAAGGAACAAAACAGCAGCAGATTCACAGACTACAAGAAGGGACTAGCAGTTACCAAAGGGGAGAGGTGAAGGGGATTGAGGGGTATTATGATTAGTACACATGGTGTGGGGGGGTCACGGGGA